CCCTCGATACTCGTCGTCTCCTCTGTCCCGGTCATGTGGCTCGAGCAGTCGGATACCATCCCCACCGCCTTGGCTACACGTTTCAAGCGAAAACAGGCCTTCCCGCCACCCCATCGGTGGTTACTCACTCAGAGCCCGTTGTCCCTAGCACGATGCTCGTGGAGCAGTGGTTGCGCCGGGCCTAGCTCGTCCCCAGTTGCCCATATGGGAGGAGTAGCGACAAATGAGTCTCGAATCACTCGGAAATGGTCTTGAAGGCGACCACAACACCTTTACAAACTTTTCAAAGCACACCACAAGTAAGGAAACTTCCGAGCCTTGACTCTTAACCCCCTAGGTGCCCAAAATCCAAGAGTAACAAGTGTTAAAGTCAAAATCAAGTGTGGAACACAAATTGGTTTGGTGGGAGTGTAGATCGGCTCTTGCTCTCTCAATCCTTAAAGTATCAACAAGTTTGGATTGAGGGATTGAAAGTATTGCGCAAAAAAGCTATGTAAGAATGGTGGAGCATCCCAAGACAATTGGGTTAGGGTTGGAGGTAGCAGCAGGGGGCTTTATATAGTTAACCCCAAGATGTAACCGATGGCAACCAGAAAACCCCTTGTGTACGGGCAAAAGGCCCCAATGCACGGAGTGTCCACAAACAAAACCATTAGGCCCCATATGCATGATGAAGACCCCATGTGCAGGGGCGCTCGGGTGGATGGCGACGCTTCTTCTTTGAGTTTGTCTCCGGGCTTCCATCCTCCTCGAGTTTGTCCGTTTGGACATAGTCGACGGAGCTTCGGCGTAGATTCTTGATGTCTCCTCGGGACAGTGATGTTAGGGTTTCTCATCATGTGGCGAGATTTAGGGTCAGGTGCTTCAGATCTATGCAAGGGTTCGATGGAGACAATTGCGGCTCTAGTACACGAAGACTTCCCAGCTATCATCAACAAGGTCAAGAGGGCTCTGGTAGGGGAGTGCCGCACCGACGGCTCGTACTGGCGGCCTAACTCAACCTTTCTCTATAGTGCGGTTGTCCTATGATTCAGAGAAACCAAAACAAAAAAATTAGTCGTCCGAAAACCACGTCTTTTCCCTTTTGAAATGAAAGGTCAACCATCTTCCTGTAATAAACTCAGAGAAACCAATGACATGAGATAAACATTAGTAATTGTCATTAGTTTCACTAACCACATTGTCATCACATTAAAATATCATTAGGGATAAATGTGCTTTCAGCTTTCTCCTCCTCAACAATGCTCGTGACGTCCTCGCTATGAGGAGGAGGAGCTAGTATGTGGCATCCTCCGTCGCCCTTGACCACCAACGAGGCTGACACAGCCGGCGCTGGTAGAACGCGAAGGTGTCACATTGGGATGTCAAAGCTATCTCCCGCCCCAAAGCCCTCGCCGATGAGCAGGCCCATGCCGCCTGATCCTTCGCTGGACTGCAGGACTCGTCCGACGCCTCCCCATCGCCCCTGCAATGTCCACTTCCATTTCAAAGGAGGGAAACGCCGGTGAAGCAAAGCTCGGACCGTCCTAGCCCTAACTCTTTTACGGTGAATAACATACCACTCAAGTAGAGGAGAAGACCCCAAATAGGAAAAGAAATCCCAATGTTGTACAAAAGCGGGTTGCTGCCTTTTAGATGGACTAACAACCACAATACTCAAGATGGAAGTGCCAAAATGCACTTGCAACGATTATTGAATAAATCGATAGCTGGTAGCTGCTAGGTTGGCTGGCGAGCTACGTTGCGCGGATATTTCAGAAAGTACGCGTATCCAATCGGATACTGCCCTGATACGTATCCCGTAAGTATCCCTTGATATTTTGATTTTAAAAAAAGAAGATATTGTTTGATACTCCTAGGATACTTTTGTGATACGTTTTGGATACCTGAAACCCCTCGTTCGACGTGAAATCTCCTCAATAATAAAGGCACACCTTTGAAGATTCCCAACATGGGCGTGAGTTTATGTGAAAACATGTCTGTCAATATTTTTTATTCAATTGAAAGGTGAGCAAGAGAAAGTCGATGTATTGATTGGAACAACAAACCTAGTCAAATCTCACTACCAATTAATGAAAATGGACTAAGTGCAAGAAAAGAAATGGGTAATCGTATTGAGGCATGCTTTGATCTAGAAGCTCCTTAATCTTTTTCTTCATATTTGTAATAATTAATATATGTAACATCTATACATAAACGTATCCCTGTATCCATGTTTTTAGAAAATTGACGTATCGGGCGTATCCCCGTATCGCGTATCCGATACGTATCCAAGTATCCGTGCAACGTAGCTGGCGAGTAGAGGGTTAATATGCTAATCGGCCATTTATCAATTTAGCGGCTATTCAATGACCTTAGAGTAGGGATTAATCGACAAGTCAACTGGTAAATTGAATGAATTCTTGAACGTGTGGAACACATTATAGTTTTTGCCACTGGAGAATGCCATACACAACTAGGGTCAGAGCTGCATACCAGTAGAAGTGGCAACCGCATACACACATTTTCAATACCTTGGTTTTCACTAAAACAAAATTAACCTACAAGTAACACATCTGGATTATGCAACCTTTCACACCCTGCCCAAGCGGCATGAAACGACACTTGACATCTGCTAAGAAACAGAACACTTGGCATATTTTGCATTGCATAATTAATTAACTAGCATCTTCTAGGCGCTTGCCGTGCCAGTATTCACTACGGAAACATTAGCTGCACAATTCGCCCTCTGGTCCAGCCAAGAGATGATGTCGGAGTAGACGCGCTCGGCGTCCTGGGGGAGCTCCGCCATGAGCGCGTGCCACATCCCAGGGTAGAGCTTCAAGTCCTTGTCCCCGCTCGACGCTTCCTCGAACAGCAGCTTGCTCACCAAAGGATCCGTCACGATGTCGTCTCCACCGTGCAGCACCAAGAACGGCAGGCTCACCTGCCAATCCCAAAACGTTAGTAGCTTCTCTGTCTTTCTCCATGGACCCAAGTTACTGAGACTACACGCATGGCACACCATGAGGTGGGCAGACTGGGAGAGAAATTAGACGGTTTTCTAACTAGGAAGGGAGATTACCTCGTGCAGGTTCTTCTCGATGTCCAGGCTCACCATGAGGAGTTCATGGCAGGTCTTCAATGGGAGCTTTCCCCTGTAAATATACGGATTTGAGCGAACCTGCACGCAAATACACAAACACGTAGGAAAATTCAGCAACACCGTTTCTTCCAGTCGTTAAGAGCATTAAAAAAGTTGAGTACATATGACCGAGTACCTTTTTTCTTATCTCTGGATCTTTGCAAACCTTGTCGATGATGTCCGGGATGGGTATGATCCTCCAACCGGGAGCCACCGCGCATACCATCTTCAGAGCGCTCACCACCACCGGATGAGGTCTCATGTCATCAGAAATCTGATACCATAACGAATAACGAATTAACAAACAACCATGCACACAAAAATCACCACGAAAGCTCGCCCCGTGTTGCATTGAGAAGTCAAATACCGCAGGATTCATTATAGGTGGAAAATGAAAAAAACAGAGAAGACCTTGCACATTGGAGCAAGCAGAACGGCGCCGTCCCAGTAGGCTGGCTCCTTCCTGTGGAGGAGGAGCGCTATGCTCCCGCCCATGGAGATCCCGTACAGGAACCGCTTCTTCCCCCTGTTCTCCGGCTTATCTGAAATTGGTCAGACGCCACCAATTCAGAGATCAGTTTCAGTTTGTGTGCCCGGTGTATATAGTTCGTCCATACCGCAGACGCTCATGAAATGGCGGGAGCAGTCGGCGACGACGTCGCTGAAGTTCGGCACGTAGCATCTCCGGCCAGACGACCTGCCGTGCCCCTCGTGGTCTATCCCGTAGACGGCGTACCCGGCGCGCACCAAACGGGAGGCAGTATCTCTCATTGATACACTGCACTCTGCTGCAATCCCTGTCAAGGGGACACCAAGAAGAACACTTGTTCTTTTTGCCACGAATTGATTGAGCAGAGATAGAGAGAGTGGGGAGTGCACTGCACTGGTACCATGGCAGATGAAGATTATGCTTTGGGCTCTGAATTGCGCGGCGTCCATGCGCAGGTGAACAGCTTGGTGTCCCGGGAGTTCACGATAAACTCCTAGAGATTGAGTTCAGACTTCAGAGTTAGCAAACGCGAGCAACGATGAAAATTAAGACCGTGTTTAAACTTCGGAGTGCTGCGGCAAATATGAACCGACCTCTTCATACTTGACATCATCGGTGCACTGATCCTGCAAAATGAAAATGTCACGGTTTGGACCTGGATCACAATGGTATGAAATCACTGTTTCTAGGGTGCTCCTTAACATACCATGGCCATGTCTTCAGAACTCCTTTTGAACAAGTGACCTTGACATGATGTCTGCCTGTACATACATATATACTACTGCACCTTGAACACATAGAATCGATGCTCTAGTCTAAGAAAAAGAATACACAGATCGGCCAACCCCACAAGAAACCGAAGCAAACCAACGGAATGGGACGGCGTAGTACGAGCCTGTGTGCAGATGGTGACACCGATTCCTTCGAACGGGAGATTTAAATCTACAACTTGCGTAACTAAACTCCAGCGACGGCGAGCATGGAAAACAACGCGCGTGAGAAATCTGCGCGAGTGCATTCGATCAGAATCAGTGGGACAGTCAGCTCACCTATTCTGAGTCACGTCGCAATCTTATTCCAACAGGACAATCATCAGATCCACAGATTTGGTCACAAAAAAATGCATCGACTATGGAATCCAGAGCTTCAGATATCGTTCGTGTTATTGATTGATCATATCTGTCAAACATAATGCTAGTACGGTGGTTCGTTATTGTTCGTGTAAATTCATTTGGATCGTGCTCTAAAATTTCAGAGTGGTTCAGACAGATGTCGTAGCAGCAACAGCAGCAGCAGGTGCTCTTGTGAAGCAGACGTCTTCCGGCAGCGGAACCGGCTGCCAGCTGGTGCAGGACTCGAGGAGCTCCTTGAGCGCCATCGACGCGGGCTGGACCGACCACGGCTTGTAGCAATCCCGGACCTCGAAGTCCCACTGGTCGTCTTCTGCAGTTTCCAAATCATTTTCGGTGTACTCCTGCGCGCCGTTCAGGAACAGGTCGCCTTCAGACCGGATGCGCCCACTTGAGCTGCAGTCTCTGTCCGCCGCCTGCATCAGTCACAAACCCAAAGCTTTTCAGCTACAAAAAATGGAATGCAGATCTGTAAGGCCCAGTGTAAATGTAATACGAGACCTGTTCGCTCATGTACGTGAACATTTTCTTCTTCTCCCCTGCCTCGTAGATGTTGCACTGGGAGACAATCTGTAGCCAGACCAACCGTGCGGATTAGCACTACACACTACACGCTTATGGCATGTGGGATATGAGCAGTTTGGCGTGAACAGCACCTGCGACTCCACGCTGGCGCAGACGGCGTAGATGCCCCAGCCCCGGGTGTAGTTGTTGTAGAGGTGCACCCGGCCGAACCGGACGCGGGGCTGCCGCTGCCGCGTGCCGTCGAAGAGGCAGTGGTGGATGGTCACCCGGATGCGCCGGTCCCCGACGTGGCCGCTGCTGGCGCCGATCAGCACGGCCTTGTCGTGCGCCGAGAAGCGGCACCGGGAGACGGTCACGTCCGTGCTGCCGCAGGTCACGTCCAGCAGGCCGTCGGCGAAGTCGCGCAGGCTGCAGCGGTCCACCCACACGTGCCTGGACCCGGGCTTGATCTGGACGGCGTCGGCGTCGTGCCCGCGCCCGCCCTCCACCTCCAGGTTGCACAGGATCACGTGCTCGCACTCGCGGAGAAGAAGCCCCTTGCCGGACAGGGTGACGCGCCGCCCGCGGCCGTCTACGGTCTTGTGGGACGACACGCGCAGCCCCGACGCGAGGCGGATGGTGCCGGACACGTCGAAGACGATCCACAGCGGCTCCTGGCGCCGGCAGCCGTCCCGCAGCGAGCCGGGCCCGTCGTCTTTAATAATACATCGTTCAGCTTCAGTACGATGAATCCATGGCAGAATGACAGCAGATGGTGATACAGCAGAGAATTAACGGGTGGAGAGATGGTGCCGTGCGTACCATTGAGGGTGGTGACGTGGTAGACGTCGCCGTGGAGGCCGCCGATGGCGTGCCGGCCGAAGCCCTCGGCCTGGCCGGCCATGGCGCGCAGCGACGAGTCCACGGCCGCGTACGGCATCAGCGTGGTTTGCGGCACGCACCCGAGTTGTTGCTCGTCGGAGAATCGAGGAGGGGCGGTGTCTTCCACGGCCGGCTCACCACCGAAATGCTCGTCGGGGTGAGGAGGAGTAATGTCCACCATGGCAGGATCGTCGACGAGCTGCTCGTCGGACTGAGGAGGCGCCATGGCGTAGGACAGTGATCGAGTGAACAAACAGAGAGCATGCTGGTTCGGTATTTGTTGAGGCACGGTCGGGAAAGAACGGCAGCTGTTTGCTGTCGGACTTTAATTGTCTGGGCCGTTTTCACTGGTGAGTTGTGTCGCGGGGCCGTTTCAGGTCGGCCCAAAGAGAAGTAAATTTTGAAACGGAGAAATGCTCATAAATACAGTTTTACGGCTAAAAAGAATACTGCTACCTCTGTAAATACTTGGAATACCTTTTTTTAAGAAAATGCTCATAAATACTTGGAATTTTTCCCTTGCCTCAGAAAGAACTTAGAATTTTTTCCACACCGTAGCCTTAATGTTCGGTCCATAGATTAAAAACAGTTTTCTAAAATGATACATCACGCCCATAAAAAAGGGCATCCTGCCCGACCCGCTTATCCAAATAGACCCATATGCCACAAAGGAAAGGAATATTGTCGAGGTTTTGCCTGCTACTATCATTGTCATCACGTCTTCCCGAGCAAATGACTTCGACTCAATCATTGATGACAAACAAATAATCCCTCTCCACTGACACACGAGATATGGCCAGTTCATGCTAAACAAACCGATCAAACAAGTCAAAAACTGGGAGCTCGACTTAGATAGCGAGCCTCGCATGAGAGATGCACACATTGCATCTGCAGAGCCCCGCGTGTTATGGGAGATTGTTGGGTGTATATCCTACTTTTCGCAAGGTATCATTGTTGCCATGTCGTCCGGTAACACTATACCTCCGACTACATCGCTACACAAATAAGAAGTTGCAAGGACAAATCTAGGACTTGCCAGGCAGTCAACAAGGAATGACATGTTGTCTAGCTCCTCTTTCTACCCTTCATCATTGCCACACAAGTCACTACACCACAAGATCCAAGGTCAACACCTTTACATTCGGACGGCTAAGCTGTCACATCACTGGTCCCTTCGGCATCACCGCCAAGTAGAAATCTGACATTCATGAGACTGCTCTCCCATCACAATTGAGTGGTTCATCTAGTAGGATCAAATTAAAAAATGATGCCCCAAGAGGGTAAATCGCCAAAACACGATCATCATTTGACCCCGTGGTTCGGCTAGGGTTTCCAAGAGCTATCCCAGCCAGTGAATCATCTTTTTCTTGATATATCAAGAAGATACCAATTACACCCAACCCAACCTTTACACCAGCACATAATCAAAAGCTTCTCAAGACATCAAGGATGTAAACAACCAAAAAATTACAAAAAAGCAACCAAGAGAACAACCGTAGAAAAAAATGGCAACCTTATGTAAGATGATAAGTGCTCCAACAATGACTCTTTAGGGAAGGGAATAACGCACGAGCATCGCCATCGTTGGAACCAACCACTAAGGCTAGATCATGGGTTTCCACCCTCGGAGAGGGAACGAGTAAGCTCCATGCAGTGTCTTCAATAAGGAATCATCGTTTGAACAACAACATTACTAGGTTCGACAAAATGAAGAGACCTAGAGTTTTCACCTATGGAAACTCGTGTCTCAGCATTCAAAATGCACCACATAGCCAACGTTGCCCAATGTTCCAAACACCAGCCGATCCATCATCGCATAGCCACACAGACGCACAATCCTGTGGACCTTACCATGCAATTTGAATCCATGACTTCTTAAGACGTGTTGTCAAAGCAAGTAAGAAACACACATGGATGCCCACCATCTCCATCGACTCCATGCCGCCGAGAGTCCAAATCGCCCATGTAGTTAATTTAGGCCAGTCACAAGGGGCACCTCGGGGCATGGGTGGGACCCACACATCAAACTGAAGTTGAGTTGCCTCATCTACTATCGCACACACCATCTTGGGTCATGTCGAGCACTCCAAACTATGTATCAAGTCAAAGATACCCAACTGTGCCCCGTAGAGATGGTTCGCAGCATGGGTCGCGCCTATGCACATGCAATCATGCCAATACGTAGAATCTTTCCCATACAAGGACCAGGAAGATTCGTCGCCACCGCTGGGAATGAGAATTAGGAAAGTCACCATCATCGCGAATCATGGAGCAAAAAGCCCAAATCACCACTGTGACCATTGAGGCCACGACCGCCCGCCTCTGCTGCCCTGTCAACCGTTGCGAAATGGTCACCGCCACCCTGGTGTCTAGCCTATGCTGATGGGTCGTCACAACACTCCAGCCATGAGAACCCCTGCAACATAAGGGGATGACCCCATCATCTGCTGAAATTTGGGATGGGCTTTAGGCCCACATAGCAATTTCCGACAAATCTCTAAGGGCCCATGTGGGTTTATTGGCACTAGGTGTAGTGGGAAGTTTAGTACCACCCCGCTAGTGGAGAAGGAGTTGGACCTCTTTATAAGGGATTGTCATCCACAGCTATTGGAGCTTGAGAATAGAAGAGGCCCTCGCGCGCTCCTCCTCCATCGCTCGCCTCGTCATGACGCTCCACGGGTTGCGGGATTGAGCCCAGCCAAGCTCACACCTACGCGCTTATTTTTGCCAGTCATTAACAGAGAGTTTCTGACAGCTAGGCCACGATCTAAGACGTCAGATCTGAAGGAAGTATGCCCTAGAGGCAATAATAAAGTTGTTATTTATATTTCCTTATATCATGATAAATGTTTATTATTCATGCTAGAATTGTATTTACATGTGTGAATACATAGACAAACAGAGTGTCCCTAGTATGCCTCTACTTGACTAGCTCGTTAATCAAAGATGGTTAAGTTTCCTAGCCATGGGCATGTGTTGTCATTTGATGAACGGGATCACATCATTAGAGAATGATGTGATGGACTAGACCCATCCGCTAGCTTAGCACTATGATCATTTAGTTTATTGATATTCCTTTCTTCATGACTTATAAATGTTCCTATGACTATGAGATTATGCAACTCCCGAATACCGGAGGAACACTTAGTGTGCTATCAAACATCACAACGTAAATGGGTGATTATAAAGATGCTCTACAAGTGTCTCCGATGGTGTTTGTTGAGTTGGCATAGATCGAGATTAGGATTTGTCACTCCGATTGTCGGAGAGGTATCTCTGGGCCCTCTCGGTAATGCACATCACTATAAGCCTTGCAAGCAATGTGACTAATGATTTAGTTGCGGGATGATGCATTATGGAACAAGTAAAGAGACTTGCCGGTGATGAGATTGAACTAGGTATGATGATATCGACGATCGAATCTCCGGCAAGTAACATACCGATGACAAAGGGAACAATGTATGTTGTTATGCGGTTTGACCGATAAAGATCTTCGTAAAATATGTAGGAACCAATATGAGCATCCATGTCCCTCTATTGGTTATTGACCGGAGATGTGTCTCGGTCATGTCTACATAGTTCTCGAACCCGTAGGGTCCGCACGCTTAACGTTCGATGGTGATTTGTATTATGAGTTATGTGATTTGATGTACCAAAGGTTGTTCGGAGTCCCGGATGAGATCGCGGACATGACGAGGAGTCTCGAAATGGTCGAGACATAAAGATTGATATATTGGACCATGTTATTCGGACACCAGAAGTGTTCCAGATGGTTTCGGATAAAACCGGAGTGTCGAAGGGGTTACCGGAACCCCCCAGGGAAGTAATGGGCCTTAGTGGGCGTTAGGGGAGAGAGAGGGCAGTAGCCAGTAGGTGGTGCCCTCCCAAGGGGAGTCCGAATAGGACTAGGGGAGGGGGGCGCGGCCCCTCTTTCCCTCTCCCTCTCCCTCTCCTTCCTTCTTCTCATACTTGGACCAGGAAAGGGGGGACCGATTCCTACTTGGAGTAGGATCCCCCCCTTGGGCGCGCCCCTTGTGGCCAGCCGGCCTCCTCCTCCCCTCCTTTATATACGGGGGAGGGGGCACCCCATAGACACACAAGTTGATCTTTAGCCATGTGCGGTGCCCCCCTCCACAGTTTTACACCTCGGTCATATTTGTCGTAGTGCTTAGGCAAAGCCCTGCGTCAGTAACTTCATCATCACCATCAACACGCCGTCATGCTGATGGAACTCACCCTCGTCCTCAGCTAGATCAAGAGTACCAGGGACGTCACCGAGCTGAACGTGTGCAGATCGCGGAGGTGCCGTGCGTTCGGTACTTGATCGGTTGGATCGCGAAGACGTTCGACTACATCAACCGCGTTACTAAACGCTTCCGCTTTCGGTCTACGAGGGTACATAGACACACTCTCCCATCTCGTTGCTATGCATCTTCTAGATAGATCTTGCGTGATCGTAGGAAAATTTTGAAATACCACGTTCCCCAACAGTGGAATCCGAGCCAGGTCTATGCGTAGATGTTATATGCACGAGTAGAACACAAAGAGTTGTGGGCGATAATAGTCATACTGCTTAACAACATGTCATACTTTGATTCGGCGGTATTGTTGGATGAAGCGGCCTAGACCGACATTACATGATCGCGTTCATGAGACTGGTTCTACCGTCGTGCTTCACACACAGGTGAACAATGGGTGTCTGTTTCTCCAACTTTAGTTGAATCGAGTGTGACTACACCTGGTCCTTGTTGAAGGTTAAAACAACACACTTGACAAAAAATCGTTGTGGTTTTTGATGCGTAGGTAAGAACGGTTCTTGCTAAGCCCGTAGCAGCCACGTAAAACTTTCAACAACAAAGTAGAGGACATCTAACTTGTTTTTGTAGGGCATGTTGTGATGTGATATGGTCAAGACGTGATTATATAAATTGTTATATGAGATGATCATGTTTTGTAACAAAGTTATCGGCAACTGGTAGGAGCCATATGGTTGTTGCTTTATTGTATGAAATGCAATCGCCATGTAATTGCATTACTTTATCACTAAGAGGTAGCGATAGTCATGGAAGCAATAATTGGTGAGACGACAACGATGCTACGATGGAGATCAAGGTGTCAAGCCGGTGATGATGGTGATCATGACGGTGCTTTGGAGATGGAGATCAAAGGCACAAGATGATGGCCATATCATATCACTTATATTGATTGCCTGTGATGTTTATCTTT